CCAGTTACAGTGAGCAGTGACATGGCTGGGATTCCCCATGACCCTACCAAGACACCTTTCCCCTACACCACAAACTCTTATAATACAAAGTCACAAGAAGCTGTGGCCTTGCCCGTTGCTTCCTGCTACCATGTGGTAGCCGGTAGTGGTCTGCTCCCTCAGAGGTGGCCCACAGGGCCAGGGGCAGGCTGAGTCCAGCTTCCAAGGCACGAGGGCAGATTGTGTTGAAGGGGACCCAGGATCAGTTTTTGTAATATTAACATCTTAATAGATCTGTTTCCCGAATTTGGATTTTTTCCCCCCATCTACTCCCTCTGGGTCCCTGGTTATCCTTCGCACACCTCCACCATTCTGACCCACCCCCAACTCCCCTTAACCATCACCTCCTTCCTGCCTCCCAGCTCTTCCTCCAGGCTGCCTGCCTCCTCGAACCTTCCTTCCCTCAGCCCACTCTTTCTCTGCCCCTTGGCTTCTCCTCCTTCACCACCCACTTCCATCAGCCAGGCCTCCCTTCCCACTATCACCTGCTCCTGCTCTGCAGCTTTCCTCCCTCCCCACAATCCTCACTCTTCCTTTCCAGTGTCCTTCCCTCCCTTATCCACCTCTTGTCCTGGCTCCTGCTCAATGTCCATCTTTCCTTCCTTTTTCCCCCAATTCCCAAATCATCCCTGGATGGGGTCAGGGCTCATGGTGATCAAGCCCAACCCTTGCCTCTCACAGAAGAGGCACCAGGAACAGGGAGAGCAGCAGCCCCACTTTCTCCTGGGATTCCTGCAGAAAACCAGGAGCAAAGCCCAGCCTCCTCTGCCCGTCTCAGCCCTCAGCACACTAAACAGCAGCTTTTAGAGCAGGAGGGAGGCACATAGATCAGGCTCACCCTCCACACCTCAAATAAAGACCAGGCCCAGAAAGCTAAGTGACTTACCGAAGGCCACACACACAGCGATTCAGTGGCAGTCAGGAGAATAGGCCCATGTCTTGTATCCCCCAGGCCGGCACCCTGTCCACTCTACCACAGTTTCTCCCATCCCTCCCTGGTCCCCAGACCTTCTGCCTCTCCCTCCCATTCCATCAGTGTCTGGGTGTCTCATGTACAGTTAGCTCTGCAGTGTCCCCATCAGAAAGGTCAAGAACAACTCCAGCCAATTCATCCTCTTGCTCGGCTCAGACAGCAGTTGCAGACAGCTGGTTTTACCCAGCCAATTAGATCCTTTCTTGGGTAAAGAACCAAGGCCATGTGAGCCCACAGCCAGAGTGCACAGACCAGGAAAAGAGCTACTCATAGTGTGATGGCTGGTGCCATCTGCCGAGAGCCGGTTATGTACAATTTTTTTCCTCTCCCGGCAAATGTGCCTTCCTGTCTCTCCTGCTGCCCCTCACCGACATCTCTCCCTGGCTCCATTTCACCACCCAGCATCTCCTCTTAGTGTTCATCTCTCTGCCCACCCCATCTTGTGTCCCAGCTGCAGGTTCCTCCAGTGATTTGTTGCCTATCTCTGTGAGGGACCACCTGACCTCACCATACTCAACTGTGTCCACCCCTGCCCGAGAGGCTGGGGCACCCTCTGCTCAAGATTAACATGAGACCACAAGGGACAACATGCATCCTCAGGCAAATGTGTATATGGAGGAAGGAAGCCCAACTAATGTGTGGATGTGGCAATGAGAAAAGCATTAAATAGGGAGTCGTGAACACTAAACTGAAGTCCCGGTCTGGTGTCATTAGTTCTGTGACTTGGGTAACGAGTCCCTCCCAAACCTCAGTTCCTTTCCCTCATAATTGGGATAAGCCCTTCTCCTGGAGTTCCCTTTATGAGGAATATTGCAAGCATCAAATGAGATAATGTGGGGAAACATCAGAGGGCAAACTGCTGTGCAGGCCTAACAAAACGTGTGCCTGGGAGCAGAGCTCTGTGGAGGACTCTGCAGATTGTTTGGGGGTAAGAGGTTGGTCTGAGCACCTGCCTCAGTCTGGGTTATACCTTCAACTGTCTGTGCTGGACAGTGTGTGGGCTGGGGGGGAGGTGGTTAGGTGGGGCTGCCCAAGACCCTACACTCTGCTCTACTGACCCACCCACATCCCTGATGCCAAGTCCCTCTAAGTACTGCCCCCCAACCCAATGGCTGACCTACACTACATCAGCTGCTCCCAGCCACCTCCCTTCCCCCATTTTAGCCCCCCTCCCCCCACCTTCTTCTTCTCGGGCAGCTCTTTGTATTTCTTGGACAGAATCTTGGTCAGGTCCAGGTTGCTCATCTCAGGGTGCAGTTTTGCATATTTGGCCCGCTTTTCCATGAAGAAGCGGAAATAAGGAGTTAGGGGTTTCTTTGGGAAGTCCGGGTGTTTCTGGAAGGAGGGACAAGGTCATGGTGAAAGTCAGACACCATCCATTCTTTGGATCATTTCTCTCCTACCCTTCATGTTCCTCCACCTGGAAACTCACCTTGAGTTTTTTGCCTTTGTAAGGATTTTTAACATGTTCCTGAGCATCAAGGATCAATTCTGTCAATGTACGGAACTTCCTCACCTGGAGGGAGAAGGGAAGTGAGTGGAACGGAAAGTTCAGAAAAGATAAGCACCCAGGAGCATACCCCATTTCTAACAGATCTCCTCTACTTCCCACTAGGCTGAATTTATCAAAGGAGGAGAGGCAGAGGCCAACAGCCACACAACTCAGGAAGCCCCTGGCACCCAGGCAGACACCCAGGCACTGGCCCATGCTTACTGCAGAGGCCCAGGCAGTCAGTACACACCAAAGGACAGCAACAAAGTGACCACCTGACCTCGATGTGGTTGTCCATGCCAGCACCTCATTCAATCCCCAGAACAGCTCAGGCGACAGAAGCTCCAAGACGGTAAGTGTTCAAGGCCACAAAGCTAGAAAGTGGCAGAACTGAGAACTCTAGGCCAGTGCTGTCAACCATGCCACCTCCCAAAATGCACAAGGGCGACCACATGAGCACCTCGCCTGGTCTTTTTCCTTCCTGTTTATAGGCTTGTTTCATCTCCCCCACCAGGAAGGCTGAGACTGGGGTACATGTATGCATACATCAGGAAGGGGGAATCAGTTACCTCATTGGAAATCTCCACCCATTTGAGCTTGCACATATCTCCAGAAAAGTCTTTAAATGCTACTTTTTCCCAGTCCATATGTGACTCAGTGGTTTTGAACTTGGAGCTGTCATTGGATGGTAGGTTGTTCTTCATGCATTCCAGCAAAGTCAGCATATCTTCCTGGGACCAGCGGTCTGCAGAGGGGTTAAGAAAGGTGATCACGCCTGGCTCATGCTATCTCCCCATCTGTTCCCCAGTCTTAAGTGGTCAACCCTTCCTCCCCAGAGCTTCCCAGATCCTTGGTTACCTTCCAGCTAAAGGTACAGACAAGAAAAGAAAAACTGTGGTCATATAGATTAGAGCAGGGTCTCTAGTCCAGACATCATCATACCTAGTAAGTCTGGCTTACTTCAAAGCTATTATCATTTCTAACATGCCAGGCTGCCATGGGCCTCCGTTTATTGTGGGGAAGGGGAGGAAATGAAGCTACAATGATTCTGGGCCCTGAGGGAAGACAGCTAGCTTATCGGAGAAGGAAGGGAAGGAAGCAAGGAGGCAACACATCTAAATGTGTCACCAAGTTCAAGTTCTAAGTGGATACCCTAGATGTGCAAGGATTGAGGATGGGGTGTGGGCAGTAAGGAGAAGTCAGGCAAATGTTTCCCTCCAGCACAGCTAGAAACCAACATTAGAGACATGTAGTATGTTCTATCAACCCCCTCCCTCTAGGCCCCTCAAGGGAGACCAAAGGAGAATTTTGGGCAAGTAAGAAAAAGCAAATGGAAATGAAGAACCACACAGGGCAGCTGTGAGGCAGGACAGGCAGGTGGGCAAACAATCTCAAGGCCCTTCCCTGAGTTGAACCTCCAGAATTTTGAGTTGTCTTTTCAGTTGAACTCCCCAGAGAGGTAAAAAAAAAGAGGGTCTGGACCAGCTATTTCCAGCTACTGAAATGCAGCTCCAGTGAGGTCACTGTGGAGGGTGGCTATCCTGACAAGGTAAGCTGGGACAATAGCTACCCAAGGCTAGGAGTCAAAAGGGCTCTTCATTTGCATTTGCATCTTGTAACCTGGGCCAGGGACACAAGACAAGTCACATGGATCCATAATCCTTTTTCCTCTCAATGCCCAGATGAGAGGATGCTCATTGCCAGATGCTCAACCTCACCTCGCTCCCTGCCCCCATACACACTGGATCCCTACTGGACAGGATAGGGTCTAGTTATGCATCTATCTCCATGGGTTGGAGCCTCAAACCACCAAAACACCCTTTCTCTCCACCGTTCTCACCACAACCTTGTCCTCCTCTTCATAACAATAAAAGCCTGGAAAGCCTTCCCAACCCCTTTCTCTTTCCTCCACATTCCTTATCCTTCCTCCCATTCCAGGCCACTGGGCTAGACTCCTGGCTGACTGGGAGCCCCAGAAGGAAGGTTTGCACATGTTGTCTCTTCTCTAACTTGTGGAGGAAGGAGTATGAGAAATACAATTTATAGGCTCAAAGCCAAATGTTTGGAGTTTAGTTAAACCCCCAGTGTGAGATATGCTTGACTCTTATAAACACTAAGGACCACCCCCTACCATCTCAATTCAGAGACAAACTGGGTAAATCTTTTAGAAGAGGAGTGGGCCCTGCAGATAGCCCTGTGGGAAAAGAGGATTTAAGTTAAAGAGGGATGAGGATGGGAGCTCCTACCTTGGCCTTTGGGGGCGGCCATTTCCAGGTCTGTGGGGCAGTCGGCTTCTCCGTTCATTCTCTAGCCGTCCAGCCACCTCCTCTTGCTGGCCGGGCAACCCGGGGTCAAAGCCACCTCAACCTTTGGAAGAGATATGTCCCCAACTCAGGCGGGCTGAGAGGTAAGGGACTTTCTGTTCCTCCCCTTTCGGGGTAAGAAGGTACCAGTCCCCAATTTCATAGAGACTCTGCCAAGACCCTAGAAGACCTAATGGGTCGGTCCGTGTGCGAACGCCCTCCTCTTCCTCCTAGATCTCTCTCCCCCCCCCACCACCCCCTGCAACCTGGGTCCGCGGCGTGCGCCCTCCCCTGCCCACGCGAGAGGCTGCTTCCAGCTCCCGCGTGCAGCTAGCGCCCGCCCTCCTTCCCCCACCCAGGCCAAAAAAAAAAAAAAAAAAACTCCTCCTCCGTACGCCCGCCCGGGGGAGGCCCCAGGCTGGAGGGCGGGGGAGGAGGAAGGGCGGGTAAAGGGCGCGCGCGGCCGCGGAAGCGGCCGCGCGCCACAGTCTCCTCCTCTCGCCTCCCCGCGGTCGGTTACCCCCGCCTCCGCAACCCGGCGGGGACCCGGACGCTGCGCAGCCGCCGCCAGCCCCGGAGCGCAGCGGCCGCACCGCCCCCGGGGACCGGATCCGGATTCCCGCGACCCCCCCTTTCGGGCTCCCGACGTCGTCCCCGCCTGCCTGGGCGGGCAAGCAGCCGGAGAGAAGCGTCCTAGCCTGCCCCCCGCCCCCGAGCCACCCACCCCGGCCAGAGGCGCCGCTACCGTCCAGCCACCCCGACGCGCCCGGAGGATCCCAGCGCAGAGGCGCGACCACGGCGGCAACCGTCGCCTCCTCCCCCGAGCTTGCGGCCCAGCCCCGCCGGCGCCCCCGCCCCGGCCTCCGGGGAGCCGAGCCAAGGAGAGGGCGGGAGGACGGCGGCCGGGAGGCGGGGGCGCAGCGCTCACCGGCCCCGATGCCCCCTCCGGCGGCCGGCGAGAACTGCGCCTGGCGGCACGGAGAAACGCGGGCTCCTCCGCCCGTGGCCGGGGCTCAGCTCGGGCCTCGTTTCCTGCCCTCCCCTCCCCCGGCTTTCGGCGTCCTCTCCAGTGTCCTGGTTCTCCCTGGCCCAGTCCCCTGCTGGGAGATCGCCCTCGGGTCCCTCCGGGCTTCCACTGCATTCGCGGGTCGCTCCCCGCCGCCCGACCCCGGCGCGCGTCCTCAGCTGCCTCGGTTACCCGGAGCAAAGCGGCCTCCACGCTTCCCGCTCCAGCGGCTCCCTCCCCAGCTCTGAGCGGCGGCGCCCTCCCCCGTTCGGCCGGGCACAGCCGCAGCTCCCTCCCGCGGCGGCAGCGGCTCCTCCTCCGGGCGCGGCGGCGGCGCTGGGGCGGCGGCTGCTGCTGCTGTGGCGGCGGTGGCTGCTGCCTGCTGCTCCTCGCGGCGAAAAGCACAAAGCACAGCGCCCTCCGCCTGCAGGCAGCCCGCCCGCCGCCCGCCCGCCGGCCCCGGCCCCAGCTCGCACACCCCCCGCCGCCGCCGCAGCCTCCGCCGCCGGAGCGGGGAGGAGGAGGGAGAAGGGAGGAGGAAGAGCGGGAGGGGGGGCAGGAGAAGCGGGGCAGCGAACGCGTCCTTCCCCGTAGAGCGCACACCGACCCCCGGGGAGCGAGCGCCAGCCCGCCCGCCTCGCCGGCTCCGCTCCCTCCCACAGCCTGCCCGGGCGGGCTCCGCGGGGGGCAGCTGGGAGGAGGGGCGGGAGCTTGGGGGGACCCGGGCGGCCGAGGCGGAGGAGAGGAAGAAGGGGAGGGGTGGTGGTGGTGGTGGTAGTGGCGGCAGCGGCGGCTGCTGCTGCCGCCGGGGAAGGGGGGGCCGGGGCAGGGAGACACGCAACCGCCCGGATGGCGGTGGGGCTCGGAGCCGAGGCGGGCAGGCGCCGAGAGCGACCTCGCCAGACCCGCGGGGGAACTAGCAGGCTCCGCCGGCGCGGGAGGGAGGGCGCGAGGCGCGGCCGCAGAGAGGGTGCCGGGAGGGCCCCCAGGCGGCCAGAGAGGCTCAGGGGGTGCCTGCAGCCTTGCTCTGGAGCTCTCCCCGACGTCCTCCCAGCTCGGATTCGGGCTTCCATTGCAACCCTTTCCCGCCTCCCAAGCGGGCGGTTCGCGCCCACCCTCGTCCCTGGACCGTGGCCACTAGCTTGGGGCGCACGCCCTCCTATAGCGGCGCCAGGCTTCTTCGCCTACCTCGCGGTTCCCTCGCAGCCGAACAGCACACACACGAAACTTAAAAAAAAATTAACTCTACAAAATGCTCTCCCTGCTAATTAAAAAAAAAGAAAATTCCCTTCGCGCCTTACACCCAGGAAACGGCGAGGCGACGACGGGTTTCGGCGTTGGAGGCTCTTTGGGAGCCGGTTCAATCCAGCCCGGCATGGCTCCCCGGGCCTGCCCGGGCGCATGGAGATCGGCGCCGCCGCCACTCGCAGCAACCCCTCTCCCCCGAAATCCGCCGCGCCGGGGCTCACTTACCGAGTGTGTAAGAGAGCGCGGGTCAGCGATACCTAGGGTTGCGGCGGGCCGAAGAGCCGAGCCGCAGCCGACGCCGGGGCAGCGAGTCGCCAGACAAAGCCCGAGATGGCGAAGCGGAGCGACGGCTAATGGCGAGCCCCACGCGCCGCGCTCCGCCCGCCCCGCTCCGCCCGCCCGCCCGCCTCGGCGCAGCGCAGCGCCGCTCCGAGCGCTCGCCCGTCAGAGCCGCCTCGGCGCCGCCGCCTCCCGGGCCACCCTGGCCTCGCCTGGCCCCTCCGCCTCCTCCGGGCGGCTCAGCCTCACCCCTTCCCTCCCTCCGTGCTGGGGGCTGCACGAAAATAAAAAAAGAAAAATGCTTTTTTTTTTTTTGCAGGGCGGCGTGTTGAGACTTTAGGGTCTTGCCCCCAGTTCGCACTCACCTGCGGAGCCTCCGGGAGGGCTGGGGGTGGGGGCGCGCGGGGCTGGAGCCGGCGAGCGCGGGTTGAAAGCTAGCCAAGCTCTGCAGCGCCCGACCCGGGCGTATACGCCGCCGCCAGTCCCCGCAGAGAAATCGTCCTCCTACCCCCGCCTCCATCGCTCTGCGTTTCTCTTCCAATCAGCCGGTCGCTTGGCGGCTCCTCCATTCTCCGGCCAAGCCGGCTGCCTAGAGCGAGCTCCACTTCTCCATCTGCTTGCCCGGCTTCTCGCTCCCCTGCCGGGGCCGGCGAGGCGATGTGAGGCCGGAGGGGGATTTGCGAGGGAACCTGCCTCCTTCTCGCTCCCATTGCTCCCCTCCTGCTGCCGCCTCCTGCCTCCTGCTCTCCTGCGTCTTTCCAACTCTCCCCTGTCGCCACTGGTGTGTCTCTGAGTGTGTGCGCGTTTTTTTTTTTTTTATTGCTCTTTGCTTTTGCAACCCTGAAGCCGGGGAGGGGGGCCGGGGGGGGTTACCAAAAAAAGCGAGAAAGAGCTTTTAGATTTGCAACACACTGAAAAACCGGGGGAGCACCCCGCCGCGTCCTATCTTAGTGCCCCGCGAGGGCCTTCCGGGTTTCAGAGCGAGCTTCTCGTTCTCAGTGACCCTCACCTCCTCCGGGTTTAGGATCCGAGGAGTTCGGGCACAAAGTTGTCCCCCTGGGCCGTAGCAAGGGGCGTCAGGGTGGGAGTTGGGGAGATTTCTCGAGAAGCAGCAGTTACCCTTCCCACCCCGGCCTTGGTGGCTGGGCCAGGGTGGGGGTGTAGAGCAAAATCCCTGTGGGTTTGAGCGACGGAGCTTCCGGAGCGAAGTCGGAGTCAAGCGACCGCGCTTCGCGCATCTCCCCCTCGGTCTCTGCCTCCTGTCCCCTGTCAGCTCCCCCTTTAATTTTTTTTTTTTTTTTCCTCTCTCTCCTTTAATCTAATTTCTTCCAACTCCACCTTTGTTGTTACCGGCGTCACGCCTGGGCCAGCCAATCCCCGCCACGCAGTCAGCTTGTCAAAAAGGCTCGGCCAGCCCTGGGAAAGCAGGCCGCGGGCGCTGCCCCCCGCCCCCCCCGGTGGCGACGGCGGCGGGGATCCGCGAGGGGAGCCTGGCACCCGGCCTTGCCGCCGGAGCAGCAGCAGGACAACCTCCGCGCTCCACCATCCTGCGGACCGGAGGTCGAAAGACCTGGGAGGGGACCGCCATCCACCCTCCCACTGCCGTCGGCCCTGGTTGTTTCTGCCTCCGCTCCTCAAAGGAAGAGTTATCGGGACGCAGGGAGCCAGAAGACTGAAGACCGCCTGCTTCCCACAGCCGAGCCTACGGTTTGGGCCATCGCTCCGGAGGCAGCGCCATTGCTCCCGGCTTCCAGGGCTTCCAGGCTGCCAGTCTCACGCACCGACAAGGCTACTGCCCACATCTCGGCCAGTCGGCCACAGTCCCTTCAGACCCTCCTCTGGCACACAGCCTTCTCCATCCTCACACAACGGCCTTGCTGTTGCTGTAATTCCTCTTGTCTCCTAGGAGAAATGACATTCCGTTCCCAGGACTTCCACAGTCCACATCTGCCACATTTCACAAACGGAGGAAAACCCTGTCAAGATCTGGTGTGTCCGGATTTTTTAGTGGGCAGGAGAGGTTGCCTTTAGTAGGAGAGGCTATTTACCTTAACGCTAATGAAGCTTAAGCTTCAGGACCCCTCATTTGCAGGGCTTGTGCAAAGCCCTGTACTTATTTTTTATTCATCTTTTGGTATTTTTGTTAAAGAGGACTTCCCCCCTTCTTTTTACAAGTTTTGACCCCGCAAATCCCGCTCTGTCTTTGGAATGTACACAACATTTTGTGTAGGATCAAGCCATCTCACACCGTACGTGAATCCAGCAGAGACTGACTTTCTTGTTTTAATTGGTGAAGAGTAGAGGGTTTGGAGTCAGAAGTCCCAGCTCCAGTTCTCACCATTCACCACCTTCATAATAGCAGCGTGTGAGTGTGATCAAGCCTCAGCTTTACCTGATTTCAGTTTCCTTGTCTATAAAATTAGAATAGCAGTTCTTTCCTCTGCTTTCCTCCCCAGCAGTTGGAAAGTAAAACTGTAGGATACCCCCCCAGTGTCACTTGCCGCAGTTACAGTGGGAGAATCTTAGGTCCCAAGAAATTTCTAAGTCTTTCACACACAGATTCGGAGTCCAGGTGTTGAGGCTCCTGGCTCTGAACTTCTTGGCTGTGCCATAGCACCTTTTGGTAAAGTGCTTTGGAATAAAATAGGGTGAACATGAATCATAAAATGATTATTGATTTTTCATTTCTTGGGCAATAATCATGGCTGGCACTCTTCCCACTTGGAAACCAACTGGCTTATTTTACATCTATTGTGTCCCTGGTGAGGTCAGGAGTCTAGGACTAGGGCTATGGGCCAGAGATGAGAGAATCTGCCCTTGGTCCTTTTTCTTTAAGCCCCTTCTCCCTATTCATCTCCTATCTCCCAGTTGACTTTCCTCCACCTTGAAGCAGAGCCTTAGCATTCCACAGCCCCAGCCCAGGCTGGTGACAAGACAATCCTAGCTACTTACTCTCAGCTTGTCCCCAGTCCTTCCCTGGATTGCCGGTATCCCAGAACTAGTTCACATAAAAGCCCTAGTGTACCTGGAACACATTAACCACAGTGTAGTACTGAATTCCTAGTATATATGGAGTAATTTAAAATGGTATACAGATGAACATACTACTTCAAATATATAAAATGCATATAGATATTTAATGTGTATTGGAAATGTTCTGTTTTTAAATTTTTCTTGAAGAGTTGACAAAGACTTTCTCTTTTAAGCTACCGTCCCTTATTTATTTATTTATTTATTTATTCTTACTGAGGTGTAACTTACAGGTAATAAAGTGCATACATCTTAAGTGTACAGTTTGATGATTTTTACATATATATATACACAGTATACATATTACATATATATACCACGTAACTGTGTAACCCACCCAGATCAAGATATTGACTATTTCTAGCATCTAGCAAGCTCAGGCAAAGTCAATTTTCCCCTCCAAATGTCATTGGCATTTGAGCTTTATTGCCATTGAAATAGCCTGTTTAGCTTGTTTTTGGAGTTCATGTACATGGAGTCGTACACTATATACTCTTACAAATGATCTTTTTCGTGCAACATTATGTCTGAGATTAATTTATGATGTTGCATGTAATAGTGGTTTATTTCCTTTTGTTGCTATGTAGTATTCCATTGTAGAAATACACCACAATTTATGCTTTCTACCTCTCAGGGCATTTGGGTTGTTTTCAATTTTTGACTTATGAATAAAGCTGCTTCAGACATTTCATGCATATCTTTTGGAGAATATATTCATTCCTCCTGAGTATATTTCTAGGAGTGAAATTCCTGCATTATAACATGTAAATGTATTGAACATTAACAAATATTGCCAAAGGGTATGGCCAGTATTTTTAGATTTTGGCCATTCTGAGATCTCATTATTTTAATTTGCAGTTCTTTAATGGCATATAAAGTTGAATATCTTTTTATATGCTTAGCTGCCATCTGGAATATGCTTAGCTGCCATTTTGGTGAGCTGTCTGTTCAGATACTTTGACCATTTTTCCATCAGGTTGTTCATTTTCTTATTGTTGAGTTTTAAGAGTTCTTTGTATATTTTGGGTAACAGTCCTTTATCAAATGTGTCTTTTGCAAATGTTTTCTCCCAGTCAATGGCTTGTCTTCTAATTCTCTTGATATTGTCTTTCAGAGAGCAAAAGTTTTTAAATTTAATATCCAGTTTATCAGTTATGTCTTTCATGCCTTTGGGATTCTAGCTTAAAAAGTCGCAAGGTCACACCCAAGGTCATCTAGGTTTTCAACTATGTTATCTTCCAGGAGTTTTATAGTTTTGAGATTTACATTTAATTCTGTGATCTGTTTTGAGTTAGTATTTTGTGAAAGATGTAAAGTCTATGTCTAGATTAATTTTTTTGCATGTGGACATCCAATTGTTCCAGCACCATTTGTGGAAAAAATTATCTTTGCTCCATTTTTGCCTTTGCTCCTTTGTTGAAGGTCAGTTCACTATATTTATGTGAGTCTATTTCTGGGTTTTCTATCATGATCCATTGACTATTTGTCTATAATCTCACCAATACTATACTGTCTTGATTACTATAGCTTTATAGTACATCTTGAAGTCAAGTAGTGTCAGTCTTCCAACTTTGCTCTTTTCCTTTGATATTACATTGACTATTCTGGGTCTTCTGTCTCTCTGTACAAACTTAAGAATCATTTTGTCAATATCCACAAAATATCGGGATGGGATTTTGATTGGATTGCTTTGAATCAATAGATCAAAATAGGCAAGAACTGACATCTTGATATTATTGAGTTTTCCTATCCATGAGGAGGGAAACTCTCCATTCTGTTCTTCTTTGATATCTTTCATCAGAGATTGGCAGTTTTCCTTATGTAGCTCTTATACATTTAGATTTATATTTAAGTATTTCAGTTTTTTGAGGGCTAATGTAAGTGATAATGTTTTTTTCTTCTTATGTTGGTTTCAGGGCTACAACACAGTGATTCGACAGTTATAACAAACTCAGAATGGTAAGTGTAATTCCCATCTGTCAACGTACAAATGTTGTGTTTTAATTTCAAATTCCTCTTGTTCATTGCTGGTATATAAGAAAGTGATTGACTTTTGTATGTTAACTTTTCACCCTGCAATCTTGCTGTAATCATTTATTAGTTCCAGGAGCTTCTTTTATTGGTTCTTTCAGATGTTCTATATTGATAATTATGTCATCTGCAAAGACAGTTTTTTTCCTTCCTTCCCAATCTCTGTAACTTCTCTTTTCTTTTCTTCTCTTATTGTATTAGCTAAGATTTTCAGTACAATGTTGAAAAGCAGTGGGGACATCATTGCCTTGTTCTCAATCTTAGTTGGAAAACTGAGTTTCTCACCATTAAATATTATGTTAGCTGTATGTTTTTTTGTAGATATTCTTTATCACATTGAGGAAGTTTCCTTCTATTACTAGTGTACTGAGAGTTTTGATCATGAATGGGTACTGAATTTTTTAAATGCTTTTTCTGCATCTATTGATATGATATGTAATTTTCCTTCTTTAGCCTCTTGATGTGATGGATTACACTAATTGATTTTCAAATCCTGAACCAGCTTTGCATACCTGGGATAAATCCTATTTGGTGTAGTATGTAATTCTTTTCATATATTGTTGAATTCAATTAGCTAATAGTTGGTTGAGGATTTTTGCTTCCATATTCATGAGATATATTATTCTGCAGTTTTCTAGTAATGCCTTTGGTTTTGGTATTAGGGTAATGCTGGTCCTCATAAATAAATTAGGAAGTATTCCTTCTGTTTCTATCTTCTGGAAGGGATTGTAGAGAATTGGTATACTTTCTTCCTTAAATATTTGGTAGAAATCACCAGTGAACCCTTCTGGATCTGGTGCTTCCTGTTTGGGAAAGTTATTAATTGTTGATTCAATATCTTTAATAGACATAGGCCTGTTCAGGTGGTCTATTTCTTCTTGTGTGAATTTTGGAAAATTATATCTTTCAAGGAATTGGTCCATTTCACCCAGGTTATCAAATTGGTGGGCATAGAGTTGTTTATAATATTCCTGTATTATCTTTTTAATGTCCGGGACATCTATAGTGATGCCTCTTTTTTCATTTCTGATATTAACAATTTGTGTCTTCTCTTTTTTTCTTAGCCTGACTAGAGGCATATCAATTTTATTGATCTTTGCAAAGAACCAGCTTTTGGGTTTGTCGATTTTTTTCTAGTGATTTCATGTTTTAAATTTCATTGATTTTGACTCTGATTTTTATCACCTTTCTTATGCTTAATTTGGATTTAATTTGCTCTTCTTTCTTGTTTCCTAAGGTAGAAGCTTAGATGATTGATTTTAGGTCTTTCTTTTCTAATAGATGGATTCAATACTATAAATTTGCCTCTAAGCAATGCCTCTGCTGCATCCTACAAACTTTGATGTTGTATTTTGTTTTTGTATTATGGTTCAAAATATTTACAAATTTCTTTTAAGATTTTTTCTTTGACCAATGTGTTATTTAGAAATATGCCGCTTAATCTCCAGTGCTTTTTGGGATTTTCCAGCTATTTTTGTGTTGTTGATTTCTAGTTTAATTTCATTATGGTCTGACCATACAGAGTAGACACTGTATGATTTCTGTTCTTTTAAATTTGTTAAAGTATGCTTTATGGCCCAGAATGTGGTACTTCTTGGTGAATATTCCATGTGAGTTTGAGAAGAATATGTTATCTGCTGTTGCTGGATGAATAGTCTATAAGCATCAATTATATGCAGTTTATTTATAGTGCTGTTGAGTTCAGCTATGTCCGTACTGATTTTCCACCTGCTGGATCTGTTCATTTCTGATAGAGGGATGTTAAAATCTCTAACTATAATAGTGGAGTCACCTATTTCTCCTTGTACATCTGTTAGTTTTTTCCTATGTGTTTTGACCCTCTGTTGTTACGCCCATAAACATTAAGGATTGTTAATGTCTTCTTGGAATATTGACCCCTTTATCATTAAGTTATGCCCCTCCTTGGCTCTGAAAACTTTTCTTGCTCCAAAGTCAGTTTCAGCTCTGTCTGAAATTAATATGGCTGTTGTCACTTTCTTTTGATTAGTGTTAGTATGATAGATCTTTCTCCATCCTTTTACTGTGAATCTATATGTATCCTTATATTTAAAGTGGGTTTCTTGTAGGTAATACATTGTTGAGTCTTTTGTTTTGTTTTGTTTTTGGTAACATAGGGGCACAATTTAATGGTTCTAATATTTTTTGTAGTTTTTTTTTTACAAGTCAGGTGCCATAAACATTCAAATAATCCATCCTTTAATAAGTGTGTTTATAACATCACAAGAATTAAGATGAAATATAAACCTTCCTACTTACAGTTTATATACAGATTAACCAAATCACAAATATCACAAATAAGTGTTAAATTGTAACAATATAAACAATAAATATTCAGATTCTTAGTAAAATCCTCCTTTGACATTTTTTAACTTATCATTATACTAAATGATCTATGCAGAGTTTTTGGAGGTACAAGAAGGTACCAACAGTACAAAGCAGATACAAAGCAATTTCAGAACTTTCTTGAATGCCCGCAACAAAGAGGCAATGTGCTTTAGGTCAACCTGGGCAACCCTAGAGAATTTCCTCTGTATTCCCAGCCATTCCTAATCCATTATGCCCAGTTGGATTACAGTGAGAGAAACCACATATTTCCTCTACTGTTACATGCTTCTCATCTGCACTGTAGGAGTATCATATTTCAAACCCCAGCATAACAGTTTTAAAACACAATGCTTTAAAAATATGTTGCTCAGTTTTCCAAAGCCACTGCATTTATAAAACTATTTCCCCTAAACTTGGGATTGCTCCAAAACACTGATCTACAAATATAAAAGTCTTATGGAATTGCGTCTTGTTTCTTCATCCACTCTTACAATCTCTATCTTTGAATTGGTATATTTAGATCATTGATGTTTAAGATAGTTATTGACAAAGTTGGATTAATAACTATTGTATTTGTTACTGTTTTCTATGTGTTGTCCTCGTTCTTTGTTCTCTTTTTGTCTATCACACTTTTTCTGCCTTTTCTGATTTTAACTGAGTATTTTATATGAATCTGTTTCTCTCCTTTAATAACATCTTATTATATTTATTTTTTCATATTTTTTAGTGGTTGAGAGTTTACAGTATATATTCACAATCAATCCAAGTCCACTTTCAAATAACACTATATCATTACATGGGTAGTACAAGTACTTTAGAACCACAAAATAATCCGAATTCTTCCCTCCTGTCCCTTGTATCATTGTTGTTTCATTTATACATAGGCATACATAAGTATATATGCATACATAAATATATATATATGCACACACACACATACCCACAAATATATTGTTGCTACTATTATTTTGAACAAACTATTACCTATTAGATCAACTAAAAATCAGAAAAGTAAAGTTTTATTTTATTTTCACTTATTCTTTCTCTAATACTCTTCCTTTCTTAATGTAAATACAAGTTTCTGTCCTATCATTTTCCTTCTCTCTGTAGAACCTCTTTTAACATTTCTTGCAAGGCACGTCTACTGGCAACAGACTCCATTCTTGTTTGCCTGGGAAAGTCTTTATTTCTCCTTCACTTTTGGAGGATAATTTTGCAGGGTACTGAATTCTTGGTTGGTGGGATAGTTTTCTTTAACTACTTCACTTCCTCCTTTCTTGCTTACATGGCTTCTGAAAAGCTGGATGTAATTCTAATCTTTGCTTCCCTATAGATAAGGAGTTTTTACCTCTTACTTCTTTCAAGACTTTTTCTTTTTTCTAACTTTTTCTTATTTTTGATTTTCTAAAGTTTGAATATGATATATCTAAGTGTATATGTCTATTTATTTATTTGGCATTTATCCTGCTTGGTGTTCTCTGAGTTTCCTGAATCTGTGATTTTGGTATCTGATATTAATTTGAGGAAATTCTCAGTCATTATTTGAAATATCGCTTCCATTTCTTTCTCTTTTTTCTCCGTTTGATATTCCCATTATGTGTATGTTAGTCCTTTCGTATTTATCACACAGTTTTGGGTATTCTGTTCTTTTTTTTTCTCTCTCTCAGTAATTATTCTCTTTGCTATACAGTTTTGGTCATTTCTATTGTATTGTCAGGCCCAGATATTTTTCCTCAGCCATGTCCAGTCTATTAGTAAGTCTGTCAAAGGCATCCTTCATTTCTGTTATACTGTTTTTTATCCCTAGCATTTCTTTTTGATTCTTAGAATTTCCATGTCTCTGCTTACATTTTCCATCTATTTTTGCATGTCACCTACTTTTTCCCTTAAATTCCTAAGCATATTAATCATAATTTTAAAAAAGTTCTTAGTCTGATAATTCCAATATTCATGCCATATCTGACTTTTGTTCTGATGCTTATCCCAACTCTTTAAACTGTTTTTTGCCTTTTAGTATGCCTTGTAATTATTTGTTGAAAGGCAGATATGAAGTACTGGGTAAAAGGAACTGTTATAAATAGCCCTTAGTAATGTGGTAGCAAGTAATGTGAGAGTGGGGGTGGGGAAGTGTTCTATAGTTCTGGTTAGGTCTCAGTCTTTTTGGTGAGCCTGTGACCCTAGACTATGAACTTTACCAATGCTTCTCAGTTTTTCCTCCCCCTTAGGTGGGACAGGATGACTGTAGAGGGCTGGTGTTGGATATTTCCCTTCCCAGTTAGGTTAGGCTCTGTTAAAATAGTTTCTTCTAGAGGGCAAAACTTGTTAGGAAGAGAATGTTCTGGCATATTTCAAAATTGCTCATTTTCCTCTCCCCCTGCCAGAGCAGGAGGGGATTTTTCTCTGAAATTTACTCTGAGGACCTGGTAGAGCTTCTAGAGATAAAACTCACCAAATTTGTTCCCTTACCCCATGACTGGGTCACCCTGGAGTTTTTAACTCTCAGACATGTCCACACTTAGTCTCCAGTAATTTGTTAATTATGGTTCAGGTTTTCCTGTCCCGTCCTGGCCTGG